AAGAACAAACTTTTACCAATCAATTTTGGTACGTATTTGTATATTTAACAGGTGAGCAGTGGAAACTTTTTCCATATGAAAGTGGACGATGACGCAAAAAAAGGTTGGGAACCCCTGTTTATATAATATATATATATATATATATATATATATATATATATATATATAAACAACGCCGGAAACAAGAGAAAATAAAATGGAAACATAGAGTAAACATAACGACTACAGCATGACGTGATTGGGATACCGAGGATACAAAAGAGAACAACAAAAGACAGGAAGTTGCGGAGAGCCATGATCGCTCACGTCCTGAAGATCGATTTTGATTTAATTGATTTTAAATTTTTTTGTTAACTGCTTACCAACCTTTTACGGATTATTTTTTCGGCTGTAACAATATTTTTACGGGTGAATATTGAATCGACTATTTTTGAGACTAGCAAAAGTCTTACTGTTGAACCCATAGAGGTTTTTATCTCATGTTTTCTGTTCAAGATTGGGTTTCTGGTTCCTTCAAAAGTCTTCTCATTCTCTTTTACTTCCAGTAACCCCTTGCGTCTTACGAGAGGAGATGCATTCACACCTTTCCCAAGGCTATTTGTGCGTCAGTGAATGCAATGAATGGAATTTGAACTCGGCTGTCCAATTTCTCATTCTGAGTTTCTATCTATTACACCAACCGCACATCCATAGCATATAAAGAGTTTGCGTCGTTATAAAAAAGGGAGCGAGCTTAGGGTTTTAGCAACAAGTAAAAAATAGAATAAAATAAATAAATAAAATAGATGTTAGGAAATTGATAACTGCTGCAGTCTTTAGAAAAGAACGGAAAGGAAAAGAGGGTAAAAAGGAGATAAAAAAAAGAAGAGAAAAAAGGAAGGTTTTGAAGGATTAGCCAATCAAATTGGAGCCTAAAAATGCCCCCTCCCATCATCTAATAATCTGTTATGTCATCAATGCGCATTGCATCCTGGGATATATCGCTTTGACGTTCTCACCTGTCAGCACGGGAACTGAATTTCTTGTCTGTCACCAGCAGAATCCATTGCCAAAAAGATCAAATTCACTGCTTAACCTTTTGTGTTTGTTATTTTTTACCCCTTAAGATGCGGCCCGAGAAAGGCATAAATAACAAATTACATAGTACAGTTGATATTATTATTATTATTATTATTATTATTATTTGTGGTCGTGGTCGTGGTGCTGATATTAATTGCAATGTTTAAAATAATCTCGACAAATGGATAAAGAGGGAGAAAGGAAAATAAACAAAGACAGTTTAAAATGTAAAAGTAAAAATAACGCTCATCGATAGACTTGAGTACGTAAAGGACCCCTGAAAAGAGAACAGATGCATCTGGAATAATTATATCAAAGTTAAAATAGAGAAAACTTACAAAAATATGTAAACGCTGCCTTTATGGGACGATTGAAGAGCGGTGGTGTTGATGAGGCCGTAAACACATTTAAAGTTAGCAAACTGGGATAAATAAAACAAAAAGGTAAAAAAATTTATTGAAATTTATACTTATTCTCATCGAGACAGAGTTATAGGCTATGAAGGATTGATGCTAGTGCTGTAAAATCTTGCATGAATTAATTTCAACTCTTCTTATTAATACCAGCATTGCTTCTTTCTAGGTGCGAGGATTGGCTGAAAATTTCATAGGCTGACAATGAAGACGTGATGCTAGGACTCTGAAATCTTTCATGAATTAATTTCAACTCTTCTTATTAATAACTGCATCATTTCTTTCCAGGTACAAGGGTGGCGCTGAAAAATTCATAGGCTGTCTTGAAGGAGTGATGCTAGAGCTGTGAAACCTTGCATGCATTCATTTCAACTCTTCTTATTAATAACTGCATTGTTTCTTTCCAGGTATGAGGGTGGGCTGAAAATTTCATAGGCTGAAAATGAAGACGTGATGGTAGGACTCTAAAATCTTGCATGAATTAATTTCAACTCTTCTTATTAATAACTGCATCGTTTCTTTCCAGGTACGAGGGTGGGCTGAAAAGTTCATAGGCTGAGTATGAGGAATTGATACTAAAACTGTGAAATCTTGCATGCATTAATTTCAACTCTTCTTAGCAATAACTGCATTGTTTCTTTCCAGCCTTGCTTCGGCAATTAGAGATACTTCTCTAACTGTACTGGTCGAACTCTCTGCCTTCGGGCAGAGAGGAACCTAGACGAGACTATGCTGAAGGGCAGAGTCTCGTCTGGGGTGATAAACAGCTACCCGACCCTGTTTTATACGGGGTCTACAGGGAATTTTTACCCGAGCCCACGGGCTCGGTTTTGACTCCGCATTAAAAACGGTCTTGTGCCACATTCTGTCACGCCAGGAAGTGGGTGTTAAGGTAAATAACCATTGCTTCTTTCCAGATATGTGAATTGACTGAAAAATTTATAGGATGACATTGAAGACGTGATGCTTGAATTGTGAAATCTTCCATTTATTAATTTCAACTCTTCTTATTAATAACTGCATTGTTTCTTTCCGTGTAAGCTGACATCAGAATATTCAAAGTTTTCGTGTTTCCCAAAAATATCATCAGCAGCAAATCTGACGTCATCATCACTGTGATACTGGTTTTCAGCCATGTTTTTTTTTTCATGTTGGCGAACAAATGATAATCAGATCAGAATAATGAGGAGGGTGATCAACCAGTTAAATGTCACGGTCACACAAAGCAACCATTAAACTTGTGTGCTGGAGCATTGTCCTGATGAATCAAGAAGACTCATTTCTTCATTTCTTCGATTTTCCTGGGCGTATGAATTTAATAGAATTTCGTGAACTGATGGTGTGGCCTTTTGAAGATAATAACTATAATGCCCTTTGCACACTAAAAAACTGAGGCCATATCATTTCCTGCAGATGAAACAATCTTGGCCTCCTTTGGAGAAGTTGTGGAGGGCTGTTTCCACTGCATGGTTGGTCTCTTTGTCTCTGACCCAAAGTGATGAACTCAACACTCAGGAAACGTTCCGGGGAAACCAGCTGGGTCTGCCACAAAACCCTTTTTCTGCGAGGACTTGATAACACCACGATGCCAAATTTTGTCCATTTTTTTTAAAATCTTTACTAGTTACATTTGAAGTTTTCTATGAAGACCAAGATGTCAGTTTAGCTAGAACAAAACAATGGAGTTATTTAAAGAAGAGTTGAAATTTATACATGCAAGATTTCACAGTTCTAGAAGCATTCCTTCATAGCAGCCGCTAAATATTTCAGCCCACTCTTGTAGAATATGGTACATGACTTTTTGTTTTATAGTGGGAACACCAAAAGTACATGAGGAGAAAAATTGTCTAGAATTGTCTGGCTTGCTAAATTTGACACCTCCAGAACGAATTTGCTATTTTTATAGTCTGAGAGAACCCTTTTTATTTCCATCCGCACGGCTGATGCTAACCTCCAGAACAGTGAATCATTGTTGATATTTTTCGCTGACGCGAAGTGGGAAAATAATATTATAATCAATTTCTAAGTCTACAGCTTGGAATGTTGGTTCATTGTATCGTGATAGACTATTTTTCTCGCCAAAATCTATCTTGAATATTTATCAGTATACATTTTCGTATATGTATCGAACGTTGCTGTTGTTAAATAATAATTTATCTGAGTATTATTTTTAGAGGGAATGGTATCTCTGTACGGACATTCTAAGGTTAATCTTTGGGGTCAGATGGAAGACAAAATAAGGAAGTCGATTCCGATTGGCTGAACGGGAGTGATAACGATAGATAGAGAAAGGGTTTTCAGTGAGTTGTTTTTTAAACGTCAAACAATGTAGACGTTTTTCCTTTCGTGTTTGAAACGGTTCCCCAGTGAGGGAGCGCCCCCCGACGATAGTTATACGTCGACGTTAATAAAATAATTAAGTTTAAAATTTTCTGTGTTGAAGCTCTTTTGTCACTGGAACAACCCCCCACTTAGACGAGAGAAAGAAGATGCAGCATATGAGAAAATTGGCACCGATGACCAAGCCACCCACACCAGGGCGAGGGTTGCAACACTGCTTCATATGGTCTGATGCTTCTGCGATGTAACTGGAGATTCTTGATAAAATCCAAAGAAGAATCTGCAATGTTATTGGTCCTGACTTCATCACGACTTCAATCGCTTTCTAGCCGACGTCATGTGTGCCTTTTCTATAAATATTTTCAGGATAATTATTCTCATGAGATTTCCTCTACGGTTCGTAGACTTTATGAATTTAAGCGCAGTACTAGATAAGCAGCAAGATCTCATTATTTTACAGTTAAAATGGCTAGATTTAACCGTAAGTTCTATGCTAACAGTTTCTTCTCTCGAACTTCACGTTTGTGGAACTCCTTTCCGGCTTCTTCCTTTCTAGTCAATGATCTTAAAAAATAATTAATTTTAATTCCTGTTATTTTATTGTTCACTCTCCTTAATAAAGCTTTTTTCCTCATATTCTCTCAGTAACCCCTTGCTTCTTAGTGGCTTTATTGCCTACCTTTGGATGAAATGATAATAAATGATAGTGGTGAAATACTGGGTGTCAGGTGGGGGTGAGATGGTTGTTGACAGCCTTTTGCCTTGACTCCACCTACATCATCAAAAGATAAATAAATCAAGCAATTGTCTATCTCCTCCACCGACCAGAACCGGCTCCCGAATCTTGCAACAGCATCGTTGCTTCTTATGACCCTTTAGCGTAAATCCTTTAAACGTTAAATCCTTTTACCCCCTTTCGTTTTAGTATTCCACCCCTAACAAACTCCTGAAATCCAGTTCTGTACCTCGCTTACATTCTACTGGTGTAATCCACCCAAACACTACCCACATAATTTTTTTTTGTGTGTGGGGGTCGGCTTTATCTATGTTTGCTGCGTAGAAATCTTCCGTTTGTTAGAATGAAAGTAAATAAATAGTCACAGACGGAGATAATGGTCGACTGAAAGAAAAGATGAAATGTTTCTTTTTCTTTTTTGAGAGTTTTACGAATTTTTGTCTTATATTTAGTAATCTTTCTTTCTTTCTTTCTTTCTTTCATTCTTTTTCTTCTTTATTTTCCTTCCTTTTATTATCCTTTTTCTGTTTCTTCCTTGAATTCTTTTCTCTATAATTTATTTCGTTCTTTCTTTCTTTGTTTCTTTCTTTATTTCTTTTTATTTTCATATACCTTTCTTCGTTTCATAATTTCTTCTTTCTTTCTTTCTTTCTTTCTTTCTTTTTTTTTCTTTCTTTCTTTCTTTTTTTTTTCTTTCTTTCTTTCTTTGTTTTTCTTTCTTTCTTTCTTTCTTTCTTTGTTTTTTCTTTCTTTCTTTCTTTCTTTGTTTTTTCTTTCTTTCTTTCTTTCTTTCTTTCTTTCTTTTTTTTCTTTCTTTCTTTCTTTCTTTTTCTTTATTTCTTTATTTTACTTTACTTTGTTTATTTCTTTTTTCCTTCCTTTTTCTTTCTGTATTAATTTCCTTTTTTATTTTTCCTTCTTTCTTTTTTTTATTTTCCTTTATTTTTTCTTTATTAATTTCTTTCTTTCTTTTTTCTTTTTCCCTTTTAATTTCTTTATTTCTGTTCCTTTCTTAGTCTGTCTTTCTTTCTTCATTTATTTCTTAATTATTTTTTTGCTTTCTTTATAAATTTATTTTTTCATCACTTTTAATTTTTTTCTTCCTGTTCCTTTCTTTCTCTTTTTCGTGCTTTTTATTTTTCTTTCTTTCTTTTTTCTTTATTTCTTTCTTTCTTAACTTTTTCCCTTTTCTTTCTTTGTTAATTTCTTTCTTTTTCTTTTTTCCTTTTTAATTTCTTACTTTCGGTTCCTTTATTTCTTCTTTTCTATCTTTCTTTCTTTCCTTCTTTCTTTCTTTTTATTTTTCCTTCCTTCCTTTTTTCTTTCCCTCTTTCTTTTCTTTTCTTTTCTTTCTTTCTTTCTTAACTTCCTTTGCTTGACTTACTTTTTCTTTATTTTCTTTCATTTTGCTTTGTATTCCCTTCTTTATTTCCTTTTTCTTTCTTTATTAATTTATGTTTTTTCTCTTTTAATTTCTTTCTTTCTTTCTTTCTTTCTTTCTTTCTTTCTTTCTTTCTTTTCTATGTATTCCCGTGTACTAAAACTCTCCCCAACCCGAGACAGAAAGACAAACATTTGGCTGGTATCTATTTTAAGACAAGAAGATCTCGAAGACCTTTCTAATTTATTTATATATCTCAGGTTTACAGAAAAAAAAATGAGCAAACTCACCCTCTGTGTACAGAGAGAGAATACAGATCTTCCTGTAGATGGACATGCATCAATATGTTTGTAGCCTAATGATGAAACCAAAAGAACATTCATCTTACCAAACAAATATTTATTTTTTAAAGTCTTCTTGTTCCTTAATGCACTTAATTGTGAGTTGGATATTAATCACGCGAACGGAATATCAATTAGCAAATCAGACAGTTAATGCTGAGTACTAAATGGGATCCTCGCGTGCTCCATATTTATAGCCTTGTGCCAAAATAATCTAAAATACTAAATCTCCAGGGGCACTTGACCGAGTAGTCATACTAAACAAGTAAGTCTTGCAAACGCCATTGATTCCCAAGTAGGCATCTACTCGGACGTCACTACAATTTACTCCTGCCTCAAAAACAAATCTAGTGTCGCCGACAAAACTAACCTGGCTGTTCGTCTCGAAAAGGACCTCCAATCAGTTGTGAACTGGGGCAGTAATTGGCTGGTTAACTTTAACGCCACCAAAACAAAACTGCTCTCTATTAATCACCACAGAGATCCTTCCCTGCCCCCCATTAGAATGTCTGACGCTCAACTTCCCGAGAGCACCTCTCTGCGGCTGATCGGTCTCACCTTGTCTACTGACCTGAGATGGAACAAATACATTGAGTCAATTGCTTCATCCACCGCAAGGAAAGTTGGCTCCCTGTGCCGCGCCAGGAAATTTTTCTCCCCGGAATCGATCCTTCAAATGTACAAATCAACCATTCGCCCTTGCATGGAGTATTGCTGCCATATATGGTCTGGAGCCGCTACTGTTTGCCTCGGGGTTCTTGATAGGCTCCAGAGACGGATATGCAATATAATTGGCCCTGTTCTGGCATCTCGTCAATAGTCGCTCTCTCACAGACGCGCCGTCGCCTCTCTCTGACTTTTTAACATATACTTTCACGGTAATTGCTCCGATGAGCTGCTTTCGCAGGATCCCAGACTTCGCGAATTCAAGCGCCCTACGAGGCTGGCATCCCGCTCTCACCCTTACACTGTTGAAACTATTAAATGTTGCCGTCTCTTCTACTCGAATAGCTTCATATCTCGCACCTCTCGCCTGTGGAACTCCCTTCCCTATTCCTCTTTCCCTGATAGCTATAATCTCCACCTATTCAAATGTAATGTCAATAGAAATCTCCAGTTGCCTTGATCTATCCACTATCCTTCTCCTCATCCTTTCCACTATCACTCCTATCTGCTCTCGCTCCAAATTCTCTGTAACCCCTTGCGTGCTAGTGGATTCCCGCTCTGCTAGGGGTGAAATGCTTAAAAAGGAACAAACAAACCATTAGTACCGTGTAGCAAGATCCTCTGTGTTTGTTCCGCATTTGTCATCTTGTGCCAACGTAGGCTAATCTTTGTCAATACCTTTGTCATGGCGTAATAATTAGCCAGCTGTTCTCAGAGATCGTTACTGCTAAGCTTTTTAAAAATGTTTGTTTGTCTAATATAAGGCTCAAGAGCCGCTCAGTATAGAGGTTTACTAAATGAGGTTGTTGTAAGTGCGTACAGTTGGCGGGATGTGTAGTGAACTCATTCTACACTGCGTGCCCCATTCTTTCAGTCTTGTGATTAACTTATTACAAATTTATCATTTACTTTACTATTCGAACCACCACGCTCATCTTGGCTGCTGTATTTATAACGTTTCGACCTTTGTACGCTAAAATCTCCGGTCTTCTTCAGGTGTCTGCCTCGCACTCGGTAACCGTGATATTTTGAACAGAACCTTTTATTCAATCAACAGGGAAGAATGTTGTTATTCGGTATTCCATTCTTAGAGAAGAAAACTTACATCACGCTGTCCCCCATACACACAGCCAGGAATGGAGGCCGTTGGTCAGGTTAGTTCAGGTTGATTGATTTTACAATATGTTGAGATTGCTAATATCGAAATTTTGTACAGGTTACTTAATGAGGATTATTCTTACTACTGTAGGGCAATGGTCAACCAGAATAGGCTCGTCAACCATTATGCGTGGTGTCACCTGGAGCGTACAATGGCCGAAACGTTGTGAGTTTAACAACCAAAATGACCATGCTGGCTTGAATAGCAAAGCGTATAATAATGATTATTACTTATCTCAAATATTCCAACATAAATAATCAAAGAAAGCCGGAGAGTACAACGTCCGGAACATTGTGAGTATAACAACCAAGATGAACATGCTGGCGCGAATAATAATAATAATAATAATAATAATAATAATAATAATAATAATAATGAAACTGAAAGAAAATGGTATAAACACCACCCAGACCCGGTTACGGAGATAGGACCTATTACAATTCTATGGGACTACACAATACACACTGACAGAACAATCAAAGCCAACCGCCCAGACATTGTTATTAAAGACCACAAACAAACAAAAAAGTGCCTCCTTATTGATATGGCAGTCCCTGCTGACTGCAATGTATCTTTGAAGATATTCAAAAAGCTGTCAAAATACAAGGACCTTGAAATCGAAATCTCAATAATGTGGCACATGGGAACATCAACAATCCCTGTTGTAGTTGGAGCCCTAGGAATGGTTGGAAAAGATTGCAGTAGACTAACTGAAGGGATTCCTGGAAGTCCATGCATCAAAGACATACAAAAAATTGTTCTCACAAGTACAGCCCACACTTTACGAAGGGCTTTATCTATGTAATTTTTTTTTTTTTTTGTCAGTGGAAAGTGTCATGATGCAATTTCTAACCTTAGGTCCCTGGGCAGGACCCGGAAAGAAATGTGTAAACGCCAGAAATCAAAGGAAATAATAATAATAATAATCCAAAATTGCAATATGAGCTCTAGTAAAAAAAAAAAAAAAAAATTACTGAGACATTAAGTTTATAAGTCCCAAAAGTTCATACACTAATGTCCTCAAGGACGCATGGCCCAGTGGTTAAAAGAATTGATTGGCTCCAGTGGCTTGACCAATAGAGTTGTGAGTTCAGAAGATGCGAATAATAACTTGGGGAGTTGAGGTCAAGGGAGATAACTGAAATAACCGGAAGCGCCGATACACGTGGAACGAGAACAAACTATCCCGGTGGACGAAATAAAGGGTTCAGTTCGAAATTCTAATCACCTGAAGAAGGACGGCAAGAACTACGACCGAAACGTCGTGAACAAGGCAATAAAGATGAGGACAACCGACCGAACAATATAAATATTGTAAATAATAATCCAAAACCTGCGCCAGTTCAGACCTTTGCAGCTACCCCCCCCCGCATTTCACATTGTTTTCCATTTTTAAGAAGAATGATTTTTCTGAGACCATTGCGATACATTGTGGAAAAGACTTTTAAAAAGATGCTTTACCGATCACTATAATCTTAACCTCTTCATGTCAACAGTCACACGTTATCTATTCTGCATATCCTTAATATCAGCACTTCGTTGTCTTGCGTCATTTCAGGAACCCCACTCAGTAACCGTCTGTCTAAGTGGCCCTTGGGGCTTCTATTCAGTACACACACACACACACACACACACACACACACACACACACACAAACAGACACACATATATATATATATATATATATATATATATATATATACAGTGTAACCCGGATATAAGAGAAACCCGGATATAAGAGAGATTTTCTCTAGTCCCAAATTATAGCCTGTGTTAATGTATATAAAATAGACCAAACCCGGATATAAGAGGAACCCGGATATAAGAGACTTGTTCTCCGGTCCTGACAACTCTCTTATATCCGGGTTACACTGTACATATGAGAATAATTAGGAAAAAAACTTAAAAATCCATTGTAATAAATTTATTTCGATGAATATAAGCATATTCATTTCATCTTTGAAATAATCCCTACCAATTACATTTTGGTATTATACACACACACACACACACACACACATATATATATATATATATATATATATATATATATTAAGACATGTCTCATTAAATAATTTAGTATGTATGTATTTATATATACCCAAGTATAGGACTGGTGTATACGGAATAAATTCCAATCACCAACAATTACTATTCTTAAAAGAGTGCTCAATACAGAGTAGAGCGAATATAATTATTCATTTAAAAATTATAACATAAATATGTTATAAAATTACACAAAAATAGCCATTTTGTTTCAACACTTCTGGTGTCTTATCAAGTGATGGTGTTCAATGCCTTCATATTGATAAGACACCAGAATATGTGACCTGTTTTACTTAAATTTGAGTCGAGGCTGCGAAGAACAAAACGCAAATAATTAATCGGTTGGCACATTAAAAATGTCATATATATTTTCATACAGCGAGGACAAAAATAAATGCAACATTCTAAAAGACGTTATCGACCTTGAACTGGATACGGACGTATTTAGCGGGAGTAGACATTCTGATAACGTCATCTTTTTTTTTTCGCATACCAGAATATCGTCTGTATCTGTCTTTTAAATGGTGACGCAGACTGTACTTAGATGTATGGGTTCAGTGTAAACGAGTGTCAATGTCACAAAGATGTACATTGTGTTTTTCATGTTCGATTAGAGCTGTCGGACTGTTAGACTTCGAGAAGAGACAGCCATTTTGGAGAAATTATTTCTTTCTTTATTTTTCCTTCCTTTATCTTACAATTTCATTTTTTTTTCATTTTCTTTATCTTTCCATCTTTCTTAATTTATCTTTTGTTTTTTTACTTTTAATTCCATTTTTATATACTTTTTTTAAATTTATCCTTAATTGTTTTTTCTTTGTTTCTTTTTTATTTCTTTTTCCTTAAATTGTTTCTTTTTCTTTGTTTCTTTTTACATCATTTTTATCTTTTCTTTCTTTCTTCTTTTTTGTTTCTTTTCTTTAATTTGTGTCTTATTCTTTCTTTCTTATTTTCTTTCTTTTTTCTTTCTTTTTTCTTTCTTTCTTTATCTATATTTTTCCCTTTAACTTCTTTTGCATTATGTATCCTTCTTTCTTTCTTTGTTTTTATATTTTCGTTGTTTCTTTTCGATACTTTGTAACTTTTTCTTTCCTTCTTTCTTTCTTTCTTTCTTTCTTTTTCTTTTTTCTTTGTTTCTTTTTCTTAATTAGTTTCTTTCTTTCTTTCTAATTTTCTTCATTTATCTATACTTTCCTCTTTTAATTTATTTTTATGATGCATCCTTCTTTTTCTTTTTTTCGTTGTTTATTTTCCATAATTTGTGTATTCTTCTTTCTTTCATTTATTCCTTTTTCTTTCTTTCTTTCTTTCTTTCTTTCTTTCTTTTTTCTTTCTTTCTTTCTTTCCCACGTGTTCTCGAGTTCTAAGATTCTCCCGACCCGAGATAGAAAGGCATAAACCTTTGACTCGTATCTATTTTAAGACAAGAAGATCTCGGAGACCTTCTCGATTTATTTATATATCTCAGGTTTATAAAAATAATCAGCCGCTTAGAACAGAGCGAGTGAGTGAGTGAATGAGACAGAGAGAGAGAGGGAGAGAGAGAGAGAGGGAGAAAGAGAATAAAGATCTTTCTAGAGATAGAAATGCATCAAAACGTTCACAGTCTAATAATGAAACCAAAAGAATATCGTCTTCTTCCTTGTCAATGCACCTGAGAGTTAAATGCTAATCACACAGCGAATTAGTACAGCAGGCAATTACTACTGCCTAGTGAACGCGTTAGTGGTGCATCGATGTTGTCAACGGTGGTCAAATGAACACTGCAACATCTGTTGGCCAGGTTCTGGACGTCTGCACAGAAGAGACTCTCGCCGAGAGTGTCTATTTATAAGAGCGGCAATGGCAGATTGTACGACGTCTACATAGCAGATATGACGAAATCTGACCCTAGGAATGTCAACACGGACCACTGGGAATCGTTTACTTGTCCCACGACTATGAGCACGAGTGCATCTAGCCAGATTTTAAGTCACGCAAAAACACCATCTCGCACGGTGAGAGGATCCCTTATCAAGTGGATATTTATATTGTTCAGTGATGAGAGCAAGTTCTGTGTTTCATTTGAGGCTTGTTCGCGTGTGTGACGTAGGCCATCAAAAGCGAGATTTTCCCATGACATACAGGCCCATCCCCTTTTGTCACCGTGTTAAGTACTATAACCTACAACCCTCGCTCACCTTTGTGTTTTTTTTATGTTTTGTGGAAGGGACGTTGAACAAGGTCATATACATCAGGAATACTCTTCAATCCCTTCAACTGCCATTCATGCAACAGGAACGTGCTATTCCAGCAGTATAATACCTGCCAACATGTTGTCTGTGCTACTCAACCAGATTTGGAAAACGCTTGTCAATTTCGCTGGCCAGCACAATCGCCTGGCCTCTCACCTATTTAACATATATGAAACATGATGGGACGACGCCTGACTCGTTTGGTTAGCCCACCTACAACTCTTGCTAATTTGCATTATCAGTTGAAAAAGGTGGGGAATAATGGATCCAATGATTATATTTACCATTTATAGGAATGTAAGCATGCAAGAATATAGTTATAAACTCCAGGAATATACAGTGGAGGTCTGAGTATTGCTACCTAAACATGTTACCTGTACGTTTAAGGTCTGTCGCATGGGACTGGAGAACTTGCTGGTAGCACCTCTTCAGAGTGGTAAATCCCACTTCCGATCTGTAGTCCTGGGTATGACGATAAACTACATCCGGCAGCAAGGCCTCTGATTGGGTTTTTGAGGAGCGCGAAACCATATCTGAATTGCTGCTGTTCCCAGGTCCACCCTGGAGTGGTAGCACCTGTTAGGCTCCCAACTATGGGCAAATAGTGAAATACCAAATAAAAATCAAATTACATTTTTATAGTAAAATTACCAAGAATACATTTTTGTAGTGAAATTACCAGCCATACATTTTTTTTAAAATTTACTAAAAATGCATTTTATCATCTGCAAACTATATATCTTTGCCTTCAAAGTATAAAATTATGTAAAAAAAAAAAATATCTGTAGATGAAGCCATAACATTCCGTTCAAAATATTTAGATGTCGGTATTAAATAACCTAACGAGGTGTTGATATACCGCTCAGCAAAAACAACCAAAGCAAACCCAACCAATCCAATTAACTGAATGTGCGGCCAGTCTTCCGTATTCGCTGGGATTACGGACCAGAACCGGCCGCGAATTGTTAGAATCCGCGGATATTTGTAACCCTTGCCCTAAAAGTGCTTATAAGTACCTATTTTGATTGTTAAAACCCTATATGTTTTAAACTTTCATTCTAAACACTTTAGAAACATTTCAGACCCTTTTAAAAACATTTTTGAAAAATAGTATTGGTGGCCATACACTTAGCGTAAATTTTCTTTCAGACGTACAATAAATGTTTTTAATTACGCATACATCGGTACAAACATTGAAAATGCTGTATAAAATATCTGTAACAAGACGTAAAATATAAAGTTTATAACATTTTTTAAAAACAGAACAGTGATAATGCCCCTACACTTAGCATAAGCCACTTTTAAGACCCCAGCCGCAGACCCTAACAAAGAACAAAGCCCTACGCATGTTTTTGCGTTTGTTTTTTTACAATAAAGATGTACAATTCTGCCAATTTTTACCATAAAAATGGACTGTTATATGTTTTAAGTCACTCAAATAACAGGAAAACAGTACAAGGATATTTTAAATTTGTTCTATCGAAAAAGTACGCGAATCTAGAGAGTTCTCAGCGAATAATCTATATGCATAATTTTAAACACCTGGCCCAGGGTCGGATCCTTTGGTTACGGCGCCAACGGTGACGTCGCTCCTCCTGGTCGCTCCTCCTGGGTCCAAGCGTGCCGCTCCAACCCCTTGGTCAGATGATCACCAGCCTCGCCTTTCCCGACTCGCTTCCAATACCTGGTCACTAAAGCAACTGTACCGATCTCGGTCTGTCTACCCACGCTGTGTTTAGATCTTAGACAGACGGGACCAGCAGGGATTGGGGCCGATACAAGTTGAGTCCGACGGGGGGTGGCAAAACACAAAAAAAGAGAAAATAAACTCACGAGACAAAAAAGATTGCTGATGAAAAAAAATGGGTAACAACCTTTATATCTTAATGTCCGTTACATAAAAACAAAATTGTTCTCATTTCCCGACCCGCTCTGTGGACTATGGCACCAAGCTTCTATCACACAACCTAAAGATTTCGAATTGCCTACTCTTTAGAATTGTGTATGTCGGAGTGTGGTTTGGTTCGACACTGGGGCTAATTTCTATCGATCATTCGCAGTTGATTCTTCTCTTCGACTTGAGTTGTATTTCTTCTTCTTCGTCGACTTAGGCTGGAAGTTCTCTTGTCTTCGACTTGGGTTGTATTTCTTCTTCTTCGTCGACTTAGGCTGGAAGTTCTCTTGTCTTCGACTTGGGTTGTATTTCTTCTTCTTCGTCGACTTAGGCTGGAAGTTCTCTTGTCTTCGACTTGGGCTGGAAGGATCTCTTGCCGCAACTCAGCCGCAACTCTCTGTCGTGGAGGTGATCTCTTCTCGCTGCCGTCCGGGGCTGAACTTCTGTCTTCGACTTGGGCTGGAAGGATTTCTTGTCTGAGGATTCTTTTGCCCGCAAAGGGGCGAGTGAATCGGGCCTGATGCCCGCGTTCAGGCTCTTTCCCTGCCCGCGGTCCAGCTGCAACTCCACTCCAACTCCAACTGATTTCTGTCGACTGGGGTCCTGCTTTTATTGACGCCGCAACAAACCGGGGTGGGTCCGTCGGCGTCAGGGGTTTTCTCGATAATTCCAAAAGTCGCATTTATTTTGTTTCCCCATTATCGCTATTGTTTTCACCCCTACTTCCTCATAGTGCTTTTGGTGGGGAGGCGCATATCCATCTCTCTCGGTCTCTCGTATGTCAGGTGACCGCTTTCGACTAATGAGATTCTGATCGAGCATTTCTTTCTTTTCTTTTCCGCAGCCACGTGACCGTTTTCGGCTAATGGGATTCTGGTTGAGCATTTCTTTCTTTTCTTTTCTGCAGCCACGTGACCGTTTTCGGCTAATGAGATCCTGATTGGGCGTTTCCTGCAATCAATCGGGGCGGGCTTATATCGTTCTTGTTCTAAAAAACAAAATCTAATTTTTCTTTTTTTTTTTCGCACGTACGAAAAATGACCATCTTGGCCTTCTCTCACCTGGACTTTGTCAAACAGCCCGCCGCTAATTAGACTTGACTTCAGAAAGGATCTTTTCCGCCTTCTTGGCGCCCTCTGTGAGCCAAAAGCAATTGTCCCTCTTTTTACCTCTTTGTTTTTCCTGATAGTCAAAAATCTTAATTATCTACATTGAAAATGTCTCCACTTTATTATTGTGGGGGTTCTAATTTTTAACAGGTCAGAGCCTGTATACCGTTCCACCGGTCACTCCCCTCAACCAAAAGACACTTTTTCTCTGATTAAGATTGTTTCATTGTTCTAAAAAAAAAAATTTCTCTTTATCCAAATTGATAAGGTGTCTTTCCATGCAAAAGTAGGCTAGGTGCTTTGACCGATATCTGGCTTCCATCAAGCGGCCCGTTTTGATATCATGTCTTTTTTCCCTTTCTTTCTTCTTATTATTTCTAATTCTATTCTTCCAATTGTCTTTAAAAAAATTCGGTCAACATGCTAGCTAAGATATCTTTCTGACTCGTGTTTTTGTTAATGACCGTTTTTTTTTTTTGTATTTCTCGACCTCTCTCTTTCCCCTTCCTTCTTCTTCCCTTAGGATCGTCCAAGTACAATCTTAGTGAATTATTTTCAACTCAATTATTTTCCGTTTTAAAAAAAATCAACAACCTGTTTAGTAAACCGAGTAAAAAAAATTAAATCATATTTCTATGAATATTTCTAATAATGCAAGGTGCCACAATCCTCCCCTAACCGATTTGTCATTTACCCGTAAATGACACCTAAACCTAATTACATCATTTAACATGCACCATGCATTTGTCTCATGCAATTCTATTCTACTTTCTAACATGCAAGGGTAATGTTCTTTCCATTTTCTTTTGTTCTACATGCAATGAAATGTTCTTTTCATTTTTTTTTTTGTTCTACATGCAATGAAATGTTCATTTCATTTTCTTTTGTTTACAGGCAATGTAATGTTCTTTTCATTTTCTTCTGTTCTACATGCAATGAAATGTTCTTTTCATTTTCTTCTGTTTTACATGCAATGAAATGTTCTTTTCATTTTCTTTTGTTCTACATGCAATGTAATGTTCTTTTCATTTTCTTCTGTTCTACATGCAATGAAATGTTCTTTTCATTTTCTTCTGTTCTACATGCAATGAAATGTTCTTTTCATTTTCTTCTGTTTACATGCAATGAAA